CTATCTGCTTCCAATTGTCTATACTGACAATGGATTCTATGAAGCCCTCCGCAACTGGGAGGCAGATCAACAAGCATTCTATGAGCAAGAATGCAAACAAGCCAATGAAGACTACCGTAACCAGCCAAGCTCCTCAATGGATCTTGATGATTTTAATAAATGCCGACACAGACCTCGTCTACTATGACGACACTAGAATGGAAAGTTGTTGAAGCCAGAGACTTCAATGGTTACACCGGGGTAATGTTACAATAACATTTACTCCTATTTTATTTTTCTCCTTTATAACCATAGCACCGACTCTAGACTCATCTAGACTCGGCTATTCTCTTATCAAGCGGGCTGTCCACACTTCTCTTCTTCTTGATTGTAACATAGATACTATCTTGCGCCGCATGGCGGTTTCACCTATCTTTGCTATCTTGATAGGTTGTACTATTTTTCCTATCTCTGTTACCTTTCTTGATGCGGCTGCGCCGCTTCCCTTTACCTATATAAACCCCATGTACCATAGTTGTATTCCTTAACTTAATCTACTGGGTTTTCCCCTTGAAACCTGATCTACAAGGTCTCCACCCTAGTAGCCTGAACTCTGATTCTAAGACAGTCACTCACTGTCTTAGCCTGAACTCTTGATTGCGGTAGAAGTGCTAAAACCACTCGCCGCTGATCCTAGACAGAAGCCGCAGCTCGTCTAGTGTGAACCCTTGAACCAGAAACCTTCCTTGTACTAGGAAGGCCGACGAACTGTCAACTCAACCGGTCTATCTTTGACCCTTGACAGAAGAACTATCCCAGTCGTAACAGCCACTGGCCAAGTGGCAATGTCGAAATCTGAGCTTAAGATGTCTGTAGTTGCGAATATAAAACAATTAATTTAATGATGGATGCAAAAAACTCTTTGTAGCTTACCAGTTGAGCAGTCGTCACCTTCGTCACTGGCAGTATCATATTGATCCTTATTATTGGCCTGATATGTGATATTCAACTGTTAGGGAAAGGAAATAGATAATGACTACTGACCTCAAATAGACCATGTATCAGTCTGATTGATCTCTGACCAAGTGAGGCATGAACAGCACTGAGCATCTTATAATCCCTCTCCTAATCCCTCAAAGTGAGCAATATTGTCAAGGACATCCAGGAAGTCTTCTGAAGAGAATCGGAACATGTCATCATGACCAGCAGTAAGCTGGCAGCTCATTTTTATGTCTGAAAAGTGACCATGAAAGACATTTGAGGGATTGAAATTGGCATCTGGCGTGAAATTGAAGTCATTGTGACTGATCATAAATACATCATGAATGATGAATTCTTTAGCTTGGGGTACTCCCTTGCTGATGAGAACATTACCATCCTATCCTCCTATGAAATATTCAACATAATGAATGAGTCTCGGTGAAGTGGCATAGAATCCTTTGGGGGAATCATGTAGTTCTTGGAGTATGGATGCAGGAGTATAAGTAGAGAATAACTTGGATCAAAGAGGCTTGGTAGATGCATTCTTGGTCAGACTCAAAGCCATGACTTGTGACTTGGATACAATGTGGCCTGGTAGAGTCTTGTTGAAAGAAATGAAAATCATACTCCATGCAGGGATATAAACATTGAAAATGGCGGAACAGAAGTAGTAGTCTAAGTTCAGCCCATCAGATCTTGATGGTTAAATCATGGGGCTAGCAATAAAGATAATATCCCTAGTGAAGGGAAAGCTTGCAAGAATGTACCATAATGTTATAGTGGTCATGGGGTCTAGACTCTAGTATATGTAACGACTTGGATCATCTGCAATTTTCAGCAACTGCATTGAGGATAGTAGTAAAGCTGGACTGTGACACAGTCTATAGTACAGGCCAGGTGACCCTAGTATGTGCCAGTGTTTATTTGGCATCAAAGTGAGGCAGCAGTACTGAAAATAAGACAAAGTTCACAGGATGTTCCGAGTTTTGAAAGTGACACAAGCCATACCCACGTGACTCCTCATGGAGTACTGCCCCTGTACAATTCAAATACATCTGCTTTCAAAGAAGGATTCCAGCCATGAACATGTCGAAATTTCATTCCTGCCCCTCCAAGTTGAATTTTAATGATGCAGCTGAGGTGCTCTTGATGACTCAGAATTCTGGCAGTATCGCTCCATCAAGCCATGCCAAGGACTACAATGAGGGAGCAGGATATGGGCAAGGTTGCCATACCTATTCTTGTGGATATTATAACTACCATAAATTGCTATGTTATCAGGCTGGAGCTACAGACCTACTAGACAAGGCCTTTGACTTGGATGCTGCAGACAAGCTTCAAAATGACTTGGAGGTATCCAAACTGATATGTAATCAGATCAAATATATCATGATATAGTTCGTCTCATCACACTTATTTGTAGGATGTTGATGTTTGGAAATCTCAGTGTTCAAATCAGCTGCCACTTACTCCAACTCACCAGAAGAGAAAGCACTCTGGGTCTGACTTTATTGAAGGACACACTCAGGCTGTCACAGTAAGTCATATTTCTTGGTTCTCAGCCTGATCTACTGACAAGCTACAACTTAAACTGACTGTATACAGCCTCAGCGCCACTTTGGCCATAATATTTTGAATGGGCAGCGGAGAGCATCAGTGCCAGCCCTACCAGTATCAGAAGCTGCACCACATTGGAAGTGGGGGAAGTTAGTACCTGAGTCTGAAGCTCTGAGTCTACTATCTGTAGCTGAGGCACTACTGAAAGTCGCAGGAGGGATTGAGGCAGCAATCAATAGGCAAACAAAACTTCTTTCTTTGATCTTAAATGCTAATGAAACTCAAGGGGGTAGTACTAGTGATTAACCCATGTAGAAAGGATCATGGATAAGTCAGCTAAATAATGTATCCTAGTTTTAGGCTCATAGTCTACTTTCAATGTATCATTCTAACAGTATCGCCTCGCCGCAATGGTATGTACCTACTTACTGTGAAATGACCTTCTCCAAGTCATGTGGTGTAACGATGGTTGCGGCGCTGGGCTCAGAACCAGGCAATCCAACACCTACGTTCATACCATTCCCCAATCTCCCTTGACCTTCCGAAGGCTGTGCGCACTTGTCTGAACCTTCAAAAGGCAGTTCTCGTGTTCCGAGATCCGTCCGAACCTCGCAAGTTACCATACCATGTCCTATCCTCGTCCTTTTGACTTCACTGGTGCATTTTCCCTTATTTTAACTATCTGTTGACTACGTCTTAGTGCTACATGGATAACAATTCCATTGGCATCCTGTCGGGAGCCTCAAAATATGTATAAACAGTACACATCGCGGCTTATTACATGTATACTTGCATTCCTGCACGCCTTGCGGCTTATTACATAGGTTCGGACTTGCTTATCTCGCTACTAGTTTCGCCTATGGATTCCAGCCTCTCACAGAAGTAGGATATAATCTCACTCGCTGGCTACTGATAGGACACTTCACTTCCCGTACTTCGAATAGTAATTAGCAGAGTCACCTCGGTATAATTGTAAACTGCGCAATCAATCCTTGTTCATTCGGAACGATTGTTTGGCTAGACCGCTGCCAATTTTGCACTTCGTTTATTCTTGAGTTCTGATAGATTAGCATCATTCCGGACTTCGGACGTTTGACGTTTCGCAAAGTCTTATACTGTTATTCGACACACCGACATACCGACACATCGACACAGCGACATATATTGACCTTCGGACAGCCTTTGCAAGCCTCGGAAGGTATCGCGCTACTTCGGACAACACTTTTGCAGCTTTGGACAACCTTCAGTCGCATTGGACAAGTTTCTCAGTACTTTGGAAGTAGTCTCGGAACTACAGATGAACTTTAAAGAGGTTTTCTTCCAATATCTTGTCTACTCTCTAACTGTATAAGACTTCCCTTGCATTATCAAGGTAGTTCTTAGGTTGTCTCTTGGGACGAAGCATACTCGCATCTCTCAGGACTAGGGACTCATATTCAGTAGAGCCCAGCCCAGATCTACTCTTTACAGCGGCAAAGGTGTTCTGCAGTTGGGCATTGCTGAGCATTCAGAATCAATCCCTAGCAGTACCAGTGAAAGTTCTCACATGTTTCACAGTCAACCATACACCATTAGCCAGCGTGCATGAGTGGTAACTCCTCAGCATCAAGATGTGGTAGTTTTTTCTCCACCAGTAGTTCATTCAGAAATACAAGGTCTGCTCATCTAACCACACATGTGGCACATCCACTCATTTCTACAGGTCAGTGTCCATGCCTCCCACATCTGTTGTGTCCGATAGCTCTCCTCTCAGGGGTAACCCCCCTACTCCACTATCCTCACACACTGCCATCAAAAAACACCCCCCTCAAGTTAATGGACATACCCTTCAAGTTAAAGAGGTAAGCACTGCAGTTCCCAGAAAGAGTCTTGTTGGTAGAGGTTGTCATAAGCATCCCTTCCAGTACTTCCTGTCTCTCAGTGGCTGTTGCGACGAAGATTATGATCCATCTGCAAAGAGATTAAAGACTCTGCAAACAATGGTGTATTCCTTCTAACTCAAGTCTGACTCTTATCTTTCTCCTGAAGTGGAATTGTACTACTGGGCCCTTGTCTGAAGCCACGCAATATCTAAATCAGTGCATGCTCGAGCTTTCATGCATGACTCATCAGGTGGTTGCCGCAAGAATGTGATACCAATGTCTTCGCTCCTATGAACTGGACCTAATAAAGTCCATTTTTGAAGATGAGACAGAGGTATCCCAAACACAACTTAAGGGGATTAATTTGCAGATTGGCTCTATATGCAACTGGCTTCAGGATCAGGGGGTGATGGTGGGGAATCAAGGATGTAGGTTTGACCATAGCAATGTTGGCCCTTGGGTTGAAAGTTCTTCTGATGATTCAGATAGACCAGGGTCTGACAGCTTCTGAATCTCTTAGCAATTCGGCATGTACATCTGATTTGAAAGAATGATTTTGTTCTATATTCCCTAAGCATGTACATCTATGTAGTCTTTGGTATCAAATCATGGACCCATGTTGATCATGGAACCTGAAGCTCAGTTTCTCTAGAAGGGCATTTCATTTAAATTGATGCTAATAAGTATAGGGGTTGCACCTGTGTACTTGTTGTTGCTCCATCAGCTGCAACTTTGAGCTGACTTGGCCCAGCTGTCTGATCAATGTGACCTTTCAGGGAACGTTTGGGCACTGAATGCCCTCACTGAGTGAGTTAATCAAATAATCAATTTAAACCTCCCTAATAATTTGGGTTTAATTTTATTTATACTAAGCTAATGGGTCGCATAATTGCAGGCATTATTGCAGATGACGTGTAATCCCATTTGAGTTTAACTCAAATCTTCTTCGACTCAGAATTCACATGAGATTGCTGACCATTGGCAGCCATGGTCAATGTGCATCCCATGTGTGTACCTGAGTTAGTTTGATCGTTTTTTCAGACTCTGTCCTGCTATGGTGGAGCTAGCTGCTTACCTAGTGGGTGATACAAGTTACTTTGGCTCTCACTAAGTGAGTTAATCAAATAATCAATTCAAACCTCCCTAATAATTGAATAGCAAAGGAATCAAGAGAAATTTTCATTTGCAGACAAACTCTGTCGAGGATGACTCAAAAATCCAAGAGATTGTCATCCTATATCAATTCGTGAACTCACTATCACAGCTGCAAGTATCATAATGGTAAAACTTGAGCATCTATGCAAGCCAGGTAATCCCCGTCCATAGCGCTTAGTTGCTTATGTGCCCATGCCCTAAGTTACTTTACCATGACATTCCTGAAACATTTTGAGCACTATTCCTCTATGACCAGGACCTTGGTAAGTTTACATGAGGTGGACAAGGTCCAAACTGACTAAAGACCTCATCTCAACTTCACCTACTGTCTCATCTTAGACTGTTGTTAAAGATCTAACCTCATATCTTTCTATTGTGATTTACAGCCAATAAAATTATTACTATTTAACCTTCCAGCTTTCCATTTTCCTTGAGTCATTCCATTCTCGCCATATCCTTTGAACCCGGGCCCTTATATTATATCCCCAATGACCCTTTGAGTTGTACTAGACTGTGGTTGGCTGTGCAGCTACTAGTTGCTGTGGGTCAATCACACTGTGGCTTTCCAAGTCCATACTCACGCATTGTCAGCATTGTCACAGTAGTAGTTCTAGATGCTCCAAGTCTGCCTTGCTGCCAACATCCAGTATAATGTCCCAGATAGAAAGTGCCCAGTGCATGGCTGAGATTAGCAGCACCAAGGTTGAGAAAATACCACTGAAGGACTTCAGTCCAACTGAGCAGCTTGCACTTGCATGGATGAAGAGGCAGGCCATTTTGAACTCCATTACCATAAATGGCTGGCTTTGCAACATCACGCAGGTGCAAAATAAGACTATAATGGTCTATATTTCAGAGATTGTCAGCCAAGTCAATCTCAAGTTCTCATGCGGTATGTACTGCTGACTACATTCTGCCTACACCTCACAGAGCTGATTTGCATAACTTCAGATATAGAGACAACTTCCAAGGTAGTGAAGTGGGTTGTTGATGCTCTTTCGCATGATCGTAAATGACTTGCTCAAACTTCTGAGAAATTCTTGGGTTGTCAATACCTTCAAATATCAGATTCCACAGTGTCTCCTGAGGACTGCCAAACTTATATGGAAAACTGCCAGCATGAGGTGCTCAATCCTAAGGCGCCCTTCAGCTATTACCTACATGGCCATGAGATTATGGACATGTCGGTCTTTGTTCATCTGTTTGCGAACCCTGGAGTGGAAGAAGCACATATATATAATTAGTATCATTCCAAAAACACACCCCTCTGAGATGAGGACATGTGAAACCAGATGATGACCACCCCTACTCAGATGTTAGCACAGTCGGCAACTGCAGTAAGTGTTAGGTCTTTATTCTAATGTATGTTCATTGACATAATCTTCAGATGATTTTAGCAATCCAGCACACTGTGAGTGGAAAAACTAAGATCTGCATTTGCACGGAGCTGCATGCCAACTTCCAGGATGCCATCCATCAAGCAATATTGTTGGCACTGGCATCTCCTATCCATGGGCCAGCATTGGCAGCACATTTGCTAGCTCTCCATGGAAGAGGCATGTCTTGTTTTGGATGTGTCAAAGGTTTTCGGCAGTTTGCAGTGTACATGTCATTATTTGTCCATGTTTATTCTAGTACTGTGGGCTGTGCTAATTGATAAGCCATGTTGTTCATGTTTGATATGTCAATACAATGACCATCTTCACAGTGACAAAGAGGTTGGTCTCTATTGTGATCATTACAATTGAGATGCTACTGTGAGTCTTTAGGTGCTGTTTGGACAGCGAACCCTGGTTCGAAAATCGCGGTTGAAAACAACACGTGATGATCGCACGTGATATATTTTATCGATAAGAGATTATCGATAGCATGTAGTATAGTGTATATAACATGTAAATCTTATAATGATAATCACAATTGCTGCACCCACATGGACCTCAAAGCGCAAACAGCAAACAATTTATATCGACAACGTCAAATTGCGATGGTCATCATCACCATTGCAGTTGCTCAGATTTTGTGCTTATATAATCTCTTATTCTTATCGCACACAGAAAAGACCCCATATCATACGTCAATTCTCACAGGAAAAGCCTGGATGTACGAACTCATTGGTGGTCACCCGGAGAGAATCAAACACAATCTCAACATTGACGTTCAAACTTTTGAGGAGCTCTTACAAGTTCTGCGGCAACACGGATTTGTTCAGTCCCGCAACGGCATCACTGTCGAAGAGCAATTGGGTATCTTTTTATATACATGTGTTACAGGATTGTCATCTCGCCATGT